AATGCCTCGTTTATAATGGGTTTTCATGTTTTTGTCTCGTCGCTCCGGCCGGACACGGCATCGACAGTATGGTGAGGGGCGTAACATTTCCGTCACATGCTTGATGTATTCGGCCAATCACAACGCACTGGATAGTTGGCCAATCAGAGCACACCTCGCTTTTCAGACCGATTAGTTTTGTAAAAATCGACGCGTTTCAAAAAGGCGGGGCATAGAGGAGAAACAATAATGTACAGTATGTGGAAAATAATGTGTTTTTTTAACTTTAAACCGCATAAACACATTTCATTACACCAAATACACAAAATAATGTTCTTTTTAGCAGCATCATATGACCCCTTTAAATTTTGGCCTCTAAAAAAGCACTAGTTGACCAGTAGGTGGTCTTTCTTATATTATAATAGCAGACTTTTGTTTTGCCCAATCCGTGAACTTCATACTGTGGATTGTGTCAACATCACATGCCATTTCGCCAGAGCTGATCACGACTTGATCTATTGAACTATTGTCAGCATAAACAAACAAGAGGGATTACTAACTGCCATAGTAAGAGGGCTTTGGTTATCTGCTGTTATTGAGTGTCTGCCTGAGTCAGTGGACTATGTCTTACATTAACCTCCTGCCTTTAGCTTATACTTTTGCAACAGGCCCCTGCAGTTGGTCACACTCATCATCACCGTCAGTAAAGGACTCGTGTTTAGAGGGATCCATTTTCATAGACAATGCACAGCTTGGCAGCACAGTAACAAGACGATGCAAACCTATGTAAATCGTGTACAGGTTGTAACAGAAGTGTTAAGGTGATGTTGTTCCTGTTGTATCCATTTATGGGCAACTCATTTCTACTTCCTTAATCTGACACCAGTCATGTGATCAAGAGATGACCTTTATCTTCATGACTCTTGAAATAAAGTTATCTTAAGCCAGAGGTCACTTACATGGCTAATGACGGAGATAAAGTCTTTCTGCTAAACTCAATGAAACAGATTTCTGTTAATTATTTTGGGTGTTTCCTTGAAATCTAACCCATGGCCTTGGCATTGCAGCAACTGGAACATTAGATAAAACAAGTGTGTCAAGTTTCTTCTATAACATTAATAGATGTGTGGTAATATCATGTAATTGTTTTGTTCATCAGTCCACCCTGTCTTTAGGCAAGGGCAGCCTCCGCAGGATGTTTGTGACTTTATACTAGTCGTTAAATGAGAACCAGAGAAACACTATTCACTGGCCAGGAATGTGTCTTTTCTGTGGCACATGTGACCATCCTCTAATAAGCCTCGCTTGTCTCATTAAAGCAGCTGAATGAATACAGACTGTTCCGCTTGAAGCCTCAAACATGTTTTTCTCATAGAAATGTCTCGTAGGTTTGTGTTTTAGATGAGTCCACTTGAATAACATGCATTCCCTTTGATTGTGATTTTCATCAGGTTGCACATTTTGGAGCCACATATTGGACTCTTTCCTTATCTTTCTGAACTTCGATCCCGGGATCCTCAGTTGGACACAGGGCAACAACAAACTCGCTCTGTTTCAGGCTTGGCCTGATCCCTTCATCTTTCAGTCCCCTTCAGCTTCTCAGCAGACGTGCGTCTGAACATGGACCCGAGTGCCGTTCTCTTGTTCCCAGTGTATGCAGTAGTATGGCTCTACTCCCTTTTGAGCTTTCTACCATGGTACTTCCTGACTGGAGCCCAGAAAAAGAAAGCCCTGGCAAAGAGAGTCAAATCCAGGTCAACCACCGGTCAGGCTGAAGGGCCGTATCGAGCCGTGGATCGCTTCGACTCCTTGGTCACGGAGGACTTTCCTGGAAAAGACACCCTAGATAAGCTGTTTGATTATGCGGTGGAGCGTTTCGGAAAAGCGGACTGCCTGGGAACTAGAGAAGTTCTGAGCGAAGAAAATGAGACTCAGCCGAATGGGAAGGTCTTCAAAAAGGTACATCCTCCTCGGACATATTCTGTACGGCTGTGATCACAATGCAAGCCAAAGTCTCTAATTCTAATTTTCTGCTTTAATCCAATTCATTTAGTGAGGTTGTTCACATGACCTTTGTAATTTAGCTTATATCATGCGCTGGTCTAAACAAGTGACTCTCCTAAACTGGCCTGTGTGCATAAAGTATGATAATAGTTACATCTTAAACAAATTTTATTTATAAATGTGCCCAACTGTTTAAAGGTTTGGGGTCGTAAGATTTTTTACTCTAACCAAAGCAGCATTTATTTAATAAAAATACAGTAAAACGGTAAAATAGTGAAATATTACAATTTGAAATAACTGCTTTCTATTTTATTATATTTTAAAATGTAATTTATTCCTGTGATCAAAGCTGAATTTTCAGCATCATTACTCCAGTCTTCAGTGTCACAACATGATCCTTCAGGAATCATTCTAATATGCTGATTTGCTGCTCAAGAATAATTTTTTCTTTATTTGAAATGGAAATCTTTTGTAATAATGTAAAGTAATGTAAAAGTCTTTGTGATGTTTGATCAATTTAATGCTGTAGTCATTTCTTTCTAAATGAATCTTACTGACACCAAACTTTTAAAAGGTAGTGTAAATATTCCTTTGAATGCAATTTTATTTTGAACATTATATTTATATATATATTCATACATTTATAAATGTTAGTTTATAAATATTTATATATCATAATTTATTATTATGTGAAATTAAAATAACATTTTCATATTAAAAACTAATTTACTTTTTACCATAGCTTGTATTTATGGTTCACAAGAAAGGTAAATCAATTATAGAAATCAGGTTAAATTGACTTACAAATCACATAATTCCTACCCGAGGCCGAGAGGCCACAGTGAAGTCACGTCGGACTCTGAGAATGTCTGACACATATATATTTGGGGACTGGAAATATAGAGATTCATTGAAAATGTCAGATTCAGTATTCATTTTGCTGTTTACACTGTCATCCAACATTTGGGTCACATTCAGATGCAATGTGTATTTTGCCAAAATTACCATTTGTTGAGAAGAGGGGAAAAACTCCAGGTTGAAGAAGTATTTTTTAATATGAAGGTGTTTGATGGTTTTGTCTTGGCAGTTAATTCTGGGCGATTATAAATGGGTATCCTATGAGGAGATGGACATTCAGGTCAGTCAGTTTGGGAGTGGACTGACAGCACTAGGCCAACAGCCAAAAAACACCATCGCTATTTTCTGTGAGACAAGGGCAGAGTGGATGATCACGGCTCAGACCTGCTTTAGACGCAATTTCCCATGTAAGGAAACATATTATTTTTACTCTTACTTACCACACTTTCTCTCTTTTTTCCCCTAAGGAAAAATGATTTCAAATGAGTCATAGGTTTTATCCCTTAATGCTTTAATGTGATGACACATAGATGTACTGTGACATCCCAAGATTGAATGAATATCTTCGTCTTTATCTTCTTTTGTTAATTTCCGTTTTCTCGTGGGTTTTTGTAGTGGTCACCTTTTATGCAACTCTAGGAGAAGAGGCAGTGGCTTTCGGATTGAATGAGTGTGGAGTTACACACCTGGTCACCAGCGTGGAACTGCTGGAAACCAAACTGAAGGTGAGCCAAAGACCGCAATGTAACAGTGATGTGTTTCCTGCACTACTGTTACTACAGATTCACAGCAAAAGAATATATATTACTCGAGTTGAATGGGTTAAAATGACTGGGTATCATGAATCAATGCCAAATTAGCATGTTTTCCAGTTCCATTGTATTTGCTAGCTGCACTCAAAAACCAGTGTAGTCCATATCACAAACAATCAAATGACCAGTGCTTTTAAACGGTTACAAAATAGGACTCAGGAACAAACTAAGTTATTAGTTTGAATCATAGAATGAACAGTTACCAAATTAACCTCTGACTCACTGAATCGCGTGCCTTATATTCAGTAATGTGTGACTCAGTTAATAACTTCAGTTAGAAAAGGGTTTAACAGGAACAGCAAGTCAGGCCATGTACTGTTGTTAAATTTTTCCAGCGGGCCACCAACATCATAAGACATTGAATTTTGGTCACTTATAGTCAACCAAATATCAATGTCAGGACAAGTTCTAATGCCAATGTTAACTTGACATAAAATCTGACGAAAGCTAGTGTTGATATTTTGTTGGATTTAAGGTGTGATATTAAGTAACCAAAATTAATGCCAGCAACATATTGAGGTCATAATGCTAACTTCCACACAGCTTTAATTTATAACATCATTAGACGTTGATATTTTGTTGGTTTTAAGTCATCTACGTAACAAAAATCAAACGTCTGTCTGATGTTGGGTTTGGATGTCAATCCAATTTTTCATTTTTCAAACCAAAATTTAACTTGACGTCCGGTGTCACCTGGGTTCACTATTTATATTTTTCATTAAATGTTCTGTTTCCATAACAATTGTTATTTCCATACAGGGTGTTCTTCCTCAAATCCCCAATCTGAGGCACATCATCTATGTGGACAGGAAGAGCATCAGCTCAGCAGGATATCCACAGGGTATCCAGATCCACAGCATGCACTCTGTGCAAGAGCTGGGAGCCAAGCCAGAAAACTGTAAGAAAGGGCACCAACTTTACGGTTGACATTTTATTTATACGCTAATTGACCTTTTCAGTGATTGGCTGTAGTTTACCCACAGTTCACCCATACAATATTGATTTGAATAGAGATTTGCACTGTAATAGATTAATCTCTATCACTAGAGGAGAAAACAATGTGCGCTTTGTGTTGCAGTGAGCCGACCCATAGTGAAGCCCATCTCGTCAGACCTCGCTGTTATTATGTACACCAGCGGCTCCACCGGTAGACCTAAAGGGGTGATGATCATTCACAGTAACCTGATCGGGGGCATGGCAGGCCAGTGCGAGAGGATACCTGGATTAGGGTGTGTATAAATATCGATAAAGTGCCACAGTGGCCACCCACTTTTTTCAGCAGCCTTAGTTCCGGAAGTATTTTTCCCATTTATTTATTTATTTTTTTACCATAGTGATTTTTAAATAGCCTTTGTTATAGAGTTATAAGTCACGAACCAAACCAACAAGCTATGCGGTGAATCACAATATTATACACTTCGATTTGAAGCAAAACAGTATTTGAAAACCATCCAGAAAGACAATGATACAAGACTGTGTATTTAACAGCTTTAATAAGGGAAAGAACTACAATCCCATAAAGCATTGCCAATCCAATTATATCAGGGATGGGCAACTTTGATAGTGACGAGGGCCAGCATTTTTTCTTCTTTATACCAAGGGGCCAGATTACTAATCCACGTCCACACACGTTTTACATCATTTTACTTAATTTCCTTTTTATTGAAGGAAATTAAAGTATAACTAATGTAATTTGTTTTTAAAGATTTTATTTACTATAAAACAGTATGCTAATTCAGAAGGAAAACTTTGTTGTCAGTGGACAGAAATATTACCCCAACAAGCCAACATCTCAATTGCATTGTCTGTAAATGAGCAATAAACAAATGTACAGAGGTCCTTTTTTTATTAGTGGCCTACAGAACAATTGGTCCAGACGCTACACAATTATTATATTAATTTAGACAATTATTATCAATTAATTATTATATTAAATAAAAATATAAATATATCTTAGTATCTTAATTGTTTAAATTTTTATAATGCATTAGCTTTTTGTCGATCCACTGGTTCACATCTTCTCATAATTTAGACTTTTTGTACCATTTAAGAGTTTTCATGACCTTAAAGGGTTAGTTCACCCAAAAATGAAAATTAGCCCATAAATTACTTACCCTCAAGTCATCCTAGGCGTATATGACTTTCTTCTTTCAGACGAATCCAGTCGGAGTTATATAAAAAATTGTATTGAATCACTGCCAGTGTCCGCCAGTTGCCCATCCCTGAATTATATATACAGTGTGTGTGTGTGTGTATACTGTGTATGTGTGTGTTTGGATCAGTTTGTTTATTTTTGATTCTCTGATTGGTGGAGCTTCTCTGCAGAATCATGGGTAATGTAGTTTTTCATTAGGGAATTCACATTTCAACATCATTATTAAAAATTTACTTGAAATAATGTGGGCTGATGGCTTCAGCAAAAGCATATACTATTGATTAACAACCTTGTAGCTCACAGTAGGTCTGTGTTTAATGGTTTAAAAGTTACTGTTAAAAATCAGTTCCGCAGTGGAGAAAATGAATGGGATTTTTACTTCTGGAACCTGATTGTTGCACTCCATTAAAGCAACAGTGCCTGACTGAAATGCATATTAGTTTTGCTTTAATATGCACGTATGCTTCCACAGATTAAAGGATACATATATTGCCTATCTGCCTCTTGCTCATGTGCTGGAAATGACGGCTGAGATCTCATGTGTGACGTACGGCTGCAGGATCGGCTATTCCTCACCACAAACACTGTCTGATCAGGTACTGCACCTCAATTTATTACTGGACCATACGTCATCCGCCCGGAACTGCTTCCAGTTTACAACAGTGAGCGCAAGCTACATTAAAGTGATTATTACGTTTTGAATATGGATATTTTTCTTACAAAAACGCATAATAAACTGAAAGCAATCTTTACGTGACTTGCTTTTCAAATGTTTTAAAATTGATCCAGCGGGCCGTACTAAAAGACACTGCCAGTGTCCGCCAGTTGCCCATCCCTGAATTATATATACAGTGTGTGTGTGTGTGTATACTGTGTATGTGTGTGTTTGGATCAGTTTGTTTATTTTTGATTCTCTGATTGGTGGAGCTTCTCTGCAGAATCATGGGTAATGTAGTTTTTCATTAGGGAATTCACATTTCAACATCATTATTAAAAATTAACTTGAAATAATGTGGGCTGATGGCTTCAGCAAAAGCATATACTATTGATTAACAACCTTGTAGCTCACAGTAGGTCTGTGTTTAATGGTTTAAAAGTTACTGTTAAAAATCAGTTCCGCAGTGGAGAAAATGAATGGGATTTTTACTTCTGGAACCTGATTGTTGCACTCCATTAAAGCAACAGTGCCTGACTGAAATGCATATTAGTTTTGCTTTAATATGCACGTATGCTTCCACAGATTAAAGGATACATATATTGCCTATCTGCCTCTTGCTCATGTGCTGGAAATGACGGCTGAGATCTCATGTGTGACGTACGGCTGCAGGATCGGCTATTCCTCACCACAAACACTGTCTGATCAGGTACTGCACCTCAATTTATTACTGGATCAGATAAATATAGTCACACATTTACACAGATTTGTGAGGTTTTTACACAATGGAATGATATTAACCTCCATTGATGAATGGTTTGTTTTTGCTTTGTAGTCAACCAAAATTAAGAGGGGAAGTAAAGGTGACTGCACCGTGCTGAAACCTTCTCTAATGGCTGCCGTACCTGTAAGTCAGACTCCTCGAAACATTTTCATCTTGTTTCATTCACATCAGTCATGTTAAAATCTCACACCCCTGTTGTCAGGAAATAATGGACCGGATCAATAAGAACGTCATGAGTAAAGTGCAGGAGATGAGCTGCGTGCAGAGAACCCTGTTCAAACTGGCCTACGACTACAAGCTCAAGCAGATCAAGAAGGGTTATGATGCGCCCCTGTGCAATATGTAAGATGAGATTAAAACAGGCCTTCAGTTAATCACATTTGCTTTTGCTAATGACTCTGGAGTTTTAATCGCCTTTGTTCCCTCATGTGTTCAGTTTGTTTAAGAAAGTCAGAGCTCTGCTGGGTGGAAACGTGCGGATGATGCTGTCCGGAGGAGCCCCTCTGTCTCCCGCCACTCAGCGCTTCATGAACATCTGCTTCTGCTGTCCTGTTGGTCAGGGATACGGTCTTACTGAGACCTGTGGAGCGGGAACTATAACCGAGGGTGAGGAGTCCTGCTACATCTGAGCATCTTTTCCGGCCCATCTTGCACTATTTTAATATTACTTCTGAGCTTTGTCCCAGTGCTTCAAACTGTGAAATAATGATGACATCTTCCTATGTTGTGCAGTTGCTGACTATAGCACAGGACGAGTAGGAGCTCCTCTGATCTGCTGTGAGATCAGACTCAAAGACTGGGCAGAAGGTTGGTCAATAGTACCAGTTTACTTGTTCATATTTGGAATCTTAAGAAGTAATGGTATTCTGCTATTATAAACTCACTTTCATGTTATTCCAAACCATAATGCTGTTATTTTGTTTTGTGGAACACAAGTTAGACATTTCTGAAGAATTGTTATGCAGCTCTTGCTATAAAACAACAGTACATTTTGACCACCATGCCTGTCAAGTTTCAAAAAGTACAAAAATGAACGTCAAAGACATATGCTATATACCAAGTTTACTAAACTCGTGCGAAAGCTTGCTTTGAGGAACACGGTCTTTCTTTACCTTTGCCAATACTTCAGCATTCCTGTAGCTTAAATAATAGTGCATGTGCAAACAACACAAAGGTCATAGCTTCAATTCCCAGAGAATACGTGAACTGATAATGTGTCTTAATGCAATATAAAATTTTGATAAAAGCATCTGACAAATGCATAAATGTAAATGTAATCTGAAGGCATATAGATTAAAAAAAAAAAAAAAGTTGACATCTTTGACACCAAAAGCATCATGTTTGGTGAACGTGAGCTTCAGGGAAGCAGTGTTGGTATTGTTAACTAAAACTATTTTAAAAAATTGTGTTCATTAAAATAAAGCTAAGTGAAAATTAAAACATTTTAGATGAAAAACTTACATTTAAAAAGCTTAAATTAAAAATTAGAAATGTTGCCTTGGCAACTTACTGAAATAAAATGTTTAAGCTGAAGTAATAAAATGACTGAAACTGAACAAAAGCTAAATAGAATATTAAATAATAATAATTAAAAATTAAAATGAAAATATAAAAATAAAAGCTAGTTGAAAATATTAATAAACACTATAATAGTATATAAATTATACTAAAATAACACTGCTGGTAAGATTATCATTGAATAATGGCTTAAATCACAATCGGTTTCTCACACAAAGCTATGAAGTATTGTTGCATGAAGTGCTGCGCAGCAATTCTTTTATTACATCTGCTTTTGTCTTCTATGGAAGAAAAAGTATCCGCATACAGATTTGAAACGACGTGAGGTTGAGTAAGAAATGTCGTTTTCGGAGGAACTATTCCTTTAACTTGAAAAAAATTCAAACCGTTACAGCTGCCGTGATTCTCTTTATACTTCAGGTGGCTATACGAAGCATGACAAGCCCCATCCACGTGGTGAGATCCTCATCGGAGGTCCTAATGTGACCATGGGCTACTACAGGAGTGAAGGCTGTATCAATGAGGACTTCTTTGTGGATGAGAACGGCCAGCAGTGGTTCTGCACTGGTGATATTGGAGAGATGCACCCTGACGGCTGTCTTCAGATTGTCGGTATGTTTACATTCAGCATCATAATGAAGTCTTGTTACTTGTTTTAGTTAAAATCATACATTTATGATAACTGTCTGTATTATTCACATCTGTTTTATTATATGTATGTAATGCCTAGATCGCAAGAAGGACCTTGTGAAACTTCAAGCTGGGGAGTACGTCTCTTTAGGCAAAGTTGAGTCAGCACTGAAGAACTGCTCTCTCATTGACAACATCTGCGCTTATGCAAACAGGTTCGTGTGCTCGGCTTTGTCTGACACATATGGGATGTTACTGACCCTAACAAAGGGTCCTCTCTTTAGAACAGCAGACGTACTGTATACAGACCTCTTTTCTCTCTCTCTGTGCCCACCAGTGACCAGAACTACGTTATCAGCTTCATTGTTCCTAATCAGAAGAAGCTGACAGCTCTTGCCAGTCAGAAGGGCATTGAAGGCACGTGGGAAGAGATTTGCAACCAGCCGATTATGGAAAGGGAAGTTCTGAGAGAAATTAAAGAAGTTGCAACTTCAAGTGAGTATAACTTTCAGTATTTATAGCAGCAAGGTATGTGGTGAAAAAGTGCGGACACAAAATGTGGACACTGTATCAAGAAATTCACTGATCTAATTAAGACAAGACCCCTGAAGGCCTGCTTAACAAAACAGTTGAATTTTTTTGGCAAGAAAAACATGCACATAAATTATTTTTTTCATTCAGAGGCTATTCTATTTTTATTTTTATATTATTAAAAATCTTAATTCAGAGACCATGATACAAAAAATAAAAAGTGCAATTTTTAGTTTTAGTTCATCAGACCTTGTGCACACTTGACATTGACTTCACTCAACTTCAGCATACATTACTATATAAAAGTTTGGGTTCAGAAAGATTTTTTTTTTTTTAATTAAAACTTTTATTCAGTAAGGACCATTAAAATTATCAAAAGTAACCGTAAAGACATTTATAATGTTAAAAATAGTATTATTTTATTATCATTGAGATTATAGTATTACTATAGTTTTTATTAATATTTTGTATTATGTATTTATTTATTTATATTAATTTCTGTTTTATTTAGTGCAGTCAAACGATTAATCGCATCCAAAATAAAAGTTTTTGTTTACATAATATATGTGTGTGTTTATTATGTATATATAAATACACACACATGCATGTATATATTTAAGAAAAATGTCATGTTTATATATTAAATATATTTATATATAATATAAATTATATGAATATAAAATGTATACATATAAATGCATGTAAATATTTTCAAAATATACTGTATGTGTGTGTATTTATATATACATAATAAACACACATATATTATGTAAACAAAAACTTTTATTTTGGATGCAATTAATCGTTTGACAGCACTAGTTTTATTTAAGCAATTCCATTTTTTTTATTTTATTCATGCATCAGTTATTTTAGTACACCAATTTAAACTAAACTAAAATGAGAAATGTTGCCTTGGCAAATAGCTGAAATAAAATATATCTTTTTTTTTTATATTAAAAATATTAAGCAGCACAACTGTTTTCAACCTTGTTAAAAACAAATGCTTCCTGAGCAGCAAATCAGCATATTAGAATGATTTCTGAAGGATCACGTGACACTGTAGACTGGAGTAATGATGTTGAAAATTCAGCTGTGCATTATAGAAATAAGTTACATTTTATATTCTATTTAAATAGAAAACGGTTCTTTTTACATTGTAATATTTCACAGTATTACAGTTTTACTGTATTTTTGATCAAATACATGCAGCCTTGGTGAACATAAGAGACTTTGTGGACTCAAAGCATGTCTTCTAATCGCCTTCCCATCATTCTAGTTAAACTCCAGCGCTTTGAAATACCAGTTATGATCCATCTGAGTCCGGAGCCTTGGACCCCTGAAACGGGCCTGGTGACGGACGCATTCAAACTGAAGAGGAAGGAACTGAAGAACCACTATCTCAACGACATCGAAAGAATGTATGGCCACAAGTAGGACCTCTATCACAGCCAAAGACATCTTCATCAGCTCCTCACCGTTCAACATTACTGTTTATCAATAAATGTTAAATACTTTTTGCCACAAATACTTCACCACTGCCCATTGCTTAGTGATGTGCACAAATTTTCAAAGACGAACAATGTTGATAAGCCGTTGGTCTGTGTATTTTTGTTCCTGAGCTTTGTGGGCTTTTCATTCAGAGCTCTGTAGTCTCTGCTGTGAAATAGTTTACAAGTAAGTCGTAGCTGATTTGCTTGAGAACTGTTGGGTAAAGGACAATATGTATCTTATCCAGCATTAAGTATCCACTAATTTCTAATTTTAGTATACAAAAGGAGTCTCTTGTAAAAAGGATTTCATCCATACAACAGCAATACACTGCCATCACATTGTGCTTTCTTTTTTTGAACATGTGTGAACGCTTCTTTGTAAAATTGTTCACTTGTTTGGTTTAATAGAATTTGAAAACACAAAAACTGCTAGCTGAGGCGCAGTCATTGCACTGCAGAACTCCGCCTCCTTGTAGAGATGAGTAATATACAGTGATGTTTCTGTGCCTTCTGATTGGTTACTATTTATACGTTGATTCCCTATTGGCTGAAAATTAGAATTCGATTCCCGGGCTTCATTCATGTTAGTGTCTTTATAACGGTTACAAACCATGTTCTTTAATTTACTTGAGATTTTTATTTTTTTTTTGGTTGTGGAAATTTGTCACTGAATTACAATGTTTTGAGTACTAATTGACACATATAGTAGTAAATGTGTTCATGGATTGACTCAAGACCGGCTGAGATGACTAGCAAGTGGTTTATTGCTCATTTGTCCTGTTCGTTTGACTGAACTTAAATGAAGGGAACATTTTTAGGACGTTTTTCTCTCTTAAGCAAGAGGTAAAGTTTATAGTTCATCTGTATCATCTTTTCACGTCTGATTTTTTCTCAAACCACTCATTTTACTGTTGTGTCTGATTGTCACGAGCTCTCTTGTCTGTCGCAAATTCCACTTCTGCAGGCTTTTAGTATATTTGGTAATATGTCAATGTGTCCTCAATATTTAATATATAAAGCTGAAAAGTAAAAAAGACACTCTTTGGAAATTCAAACCCAGAATATGAATATTAAGGTTGAGGAACCCTTGTTAGTGTTGTATTCTGTATTTTAATTTATTTGGTCAAAACTGTACCTTTTTATTTTAACCCGTGTTTAATTGTTTTAGTTTTTAAAGTGTGATCTGTACAGGCACTGTAATTTGTTCGCGTTTGGGTTATTCTAGAAAGTGTATTTTATTTATAATTATTTTGTCATTTGCACTATTCTTTTTGTCAGGGATTTTTAGCCATTGTTAAACAAACAGCCATTAAGCCATCAAATTCAGCAGTTATTTCCCCCACAGCCCTCAGGTTTCCGGTCACCACAAGCAAGACTATACAGCAGTCAAGTGTTTGCATTGAGAAATTGTGAATTCGCTTGTAGAATGTTCTATGATGCTTATTTATTTTTATTGTGGTTCACTGTATGTAATATTTGCTGAGAACAAGTAAAAAATTTTCTATTCAAATTGTGTGGTATTCCATATTCCAACAATTCAATTGTGAATGTTTTTTTTTATTTTATTTACAGAACATACTTAAATTGCAATGAGTATACAAAAGGTTTGTAGCTACAATTCAGTTAGCCCAGTCTTGAAAGCGAAAACAGTCGCTTGCAATCTTCCATACGGGCTGGTCGCTGTTAGGAGAGGCTTGGGCAGTTAATAAGAAATTCTGGTTGAAGTATCTCTGTTTGTTTCCGTCAAATTTCACTGAGCCAGCTGTAACCACCAACAAAGTCGTTTGGCCTTGAGTTGCTTGTTCTGTTAAAAAAAATGTATTTGATTAAACAATAGGAAAATATATTATTGTTATTATGAATTAAAACATGATGAGCATACCATGCACAGGCTGGCAGTCAAGAGTTTGCACTTGAAACTCACTGGAAGGAAGACTCTCGAAGAACTGGCTGAGAGCATCATGACCTGTGAAAGCATTTCCATTCCACACTAGCGTTGCTTTGTCCAGATACAGCCTCGTCAAATTCTGAAAGCATTTTTATTATTATTATTATGAAGTCTTTGAATGCACAGATCAGCAAACACGCTATTAGAAGTTAAAACTCCAAACATGAGATGAGCGTACCCTTCTTCTCTTATCCATACAGTCATAATAGATATTGACGAATTCATCCGAGTATCTGCATGACTGATCAACTAGAGTCCTGAAGTCCTGATCAGTGCCGAACAGAATTGATGAGCACAGTTATGAAACATATCTGCATAAGCATTTAGATGAATGTTGACCTCAGTGAACACTCACCGCCGTTGAAGCCATGCTACTGAACGTGCACTTCACCGATCTCCCGCCGACTATTTGTGATGTTCAGCCGTTTTGAGAAATTGATATACAAACCACTAATAATAAAACATAAAAAAGATCAGAGCGATTTAAAATGTAGGCACACGCCAGATGGAAAAAAGATGCGCAGCGTAAAATTACGGTATGTAAGAAAATCACCTGTAATCGTAGTTTATGCCCACTTGGAAAAGGATGGTATTGCATGTAAAAATATCAGAAGTATGATCTCTCACTCCTTTAAAAAAACAAATCCAACCTGGAGAAAAAAAATGTGCGCAAATGTGTGTGTCCACGGTTATTGTTCCGCCGGAAAACTACCCTCATTCTAAGTTCCCAGCCCCAGGAGAAATAAAATACACAATATGACAAAAGGCAAAGTAACGTCCATAAATAAGTCAAATAAATACTTAAAAGATCAGCAAAAAAAAAAATGAATGAAAGCTTACTTAAGTACTTCTATACGACAGCAAAAACTACTAGCTTAACTGATAAAGTTAGTAATAAAACAAGAACAATTACACCAATTGCAAGCATAGATGAATACAACAAAACACAGTTACAAATAAAGTCAGTAACAGTAGCATTCATGGCAGAAATGTAATAAGTGTAAAATAACAAATACAGATTAATCTTTGTTTCTATATTAATGTATAGGGTTGAAACTATTAGTCGAGAGCACCTACATTAGTCAACACTGTTCATTCAACACATTATTGCAGGCCCTTACTTTAGATCATATGAGATCAAATGACTATTCAACAATTTATTTTTAAACATTTTTAATTTATTGACTAATCTTTGGTTGGGGTAAAAATAAGTTTGCTATAAGCAGTTTTGGGAAGGTTACTTTGGAAACGTAATAGGTTACAGATTACAAGTTACCCTATTTAAAATGTAATAAGTAGTGTAACTAATTCAGTTACTTTATAAATGTAACTGATTACGTTTTGATTACTTTTCTAAATTTCTAACGAATGTTTTTAATTGTTAATCATTTTCAAACATTTAAACCAGGCAGGGTTAACCTTACAGTAGTACTCAATACTGATTACTATCAGTTTTTCAAAATCCTTCATCACTTGAAATAAGATTATAATCATTTAATTTTAAAGCACAGCCACTAGAAAATCAGACTTCAGCACCTCTTTTAACTTTGAGATTGATCTGAGGTTAAATACAGATTTAAAATCATAAGAAAGTTTAATAGCTATGATACTGTTTTTGAAATCAAATCTTTACATTGCTATGGCAGGAAACACTGGTATTTAACAATGCCTTGAAAAAGAAAATGATAATCTTAAAAATAAAGCATGCATAAACCCAAATAGGAATAAAACAGTTATCGAATAAGCATGTGTCCTATTCTTAAACTCCAATCTAGGGAACAATCCAACCCTCTCCATTGACTTTGTATCGCGGGAAGCTGCCTCCTTGTCATTTCTGACTTATAACAAAAAACAGAACAATGCCTAAAAGCTGCTGTGTGACAAAGTGTACAGCAAACAAGCTAAAAACCCAGAACTACATTTTTATAAGCTGTCGACCCCCCAAAAAACGAGCGTATAAGGACACAAGAGTGGAGTGCAACATGTCATATTACTCTGAGAACTATGCCCACAGGAGGGGAACGTAATCGGTGACAGATAACATTAATTATTTTTATCCATGTCAAAAGATTATTTCACCACCTATGTGAACCTGAGAGGAGGAGATATATTGAGAAACTAAATTTTATTGGTCTATGTCAGTGCCCCTTTTCCTTATCTTCCTTTTGTTGGAGAAATGATCCAACTGAATGGCCCAACGTGAAATACCCTGGCATCTACAACTATTTGATCGAATCACCAGGTATTGGTAACAGTATCATTTAATTAGGGTGACCATATTTTAGTTTTCCAAAAAGAGGACAGTGGGTACGTGTGGGGCGGGACGGGGGGCTGTGGTGTGGTTGGTTGGTGGTTAAAGTAGTGCCCAAAGTAGTGCAATGGCCATATCCCAAATATTAAAACTCAAAATATGTCATTTCCATACCTAAAATACATATTTCACAGTAACTGTTATGCATATTGATCATAAACACAGCTAAAAATCTTCCTGCCAGTGGCCCTCCTTTACAAAACTTAACAGCACAGTTTTATAATGCAAAATTAATTTATGCAACATTTCAAACCTTTAAAAGTAACCCAATTCCATCGGGAAAAAAAACGTGGACTTGACAATCCTACATCCAACACGAGCTGCAGGAGTCAGATTTGACTGATCAGGGGTTGAGAGGAGAGATAGCTGACAGACCATGCTGGAGGATTTGCTGCTCAACAGATCATGAGCTCATTGACAACTATCTGATCTTCCTTTACACAGAGCGCACGTGATCACGAAAGTGAACAGCGAGCGCTCATTTAAAAGAGATTTATATACTCCGCATATTGATATCGGCTCCCTGATGTGCGAAAATTATATGCAATATTAGAACGTTTGCGGGAACACTGGACACAAAAATCACAGGAGCGGGCGATAATGGTCAGAAATTCAGCGGGAGCGGGATAAAGAAAACGCAGGGCTCTAATACAAAAACGCACACAATGAATGGCGACTGTAGAAAGCAGAAGCCGAATCCCAGACATTTTGGGCAATTTAGAAATCCCGGCCAGATGCATTTTTTTTAGGTCCGAAAAAAGGACATGTCCGGGAAAAAGAAGACGTATGGTCACCCTAATTTAATTTATCTAACAAAGATCAAAACACATAGCTTAGATGGCTTCAACCCTTAGCTTATGTAATAATAGTCAAAGCACATAGCCTCAGCTTTATGAAAGTTAGAGGGAAGCAGGGGTGCAGTTAATTACTAAAATGTTGGGACAAGTTAGCTATTAGAAAGCTTATATTAGCTATGTGTGTTAGCAAGCTGTAGCTTGGGCCAATTGGTATTCGTCTTCTTTGGTGTTTACTACTAATATGAACTATTTGATAAAATTTTGATATTTACAAGTGTTTGTTTTAATCAAATAATGAATGTTTCCTGTTGCCGATTACGTTTCCCTCCAGTGGGCTTAGTTCTCAGAGTAATATGATGCGTTGCGCTCTACTTTTGTGTCCTTAAACGCTCGTTTTTTTGGGTCGACAGCTTATAAAAACGTAGTTCTGGGTTTTCTAGCTTGTTTACTGAACAGTCATGGCCAAAAGATTTGGCAGTGACAAATTGTGTTTTGCAAAGTTTGCTGCTTCAGTATTTGTTTATTATTTTCCCACATGTTTCTATGGTATGCTGCACGTGTTTCTTTGGAGGTAACCATTGAACACCATGATTAGAAGCACTTCTTCCCTCCTTTTATAGCAATCAGTCTGCTCTTACAATCTAAATAGTATGATCGTGATTTTACCTAGTACTAGTACTCATTCAAACTTTCACATGTGCTGCTGATATGATTAGTCAATTAATGTTAGCTGGTCATTTTGTGTCAGGATCAAAAAACAGTGAAATGTGTGTTTTTGTAGTTAATTTTTTTGGCCAGCTTTTAGTAATGATTTAAAATGCATCTGATCACTCTACACAATAATCTAGAAACAATGTGAATGAACACCACATCAGCTTAAGCAGCAAACTTTGCAAAACACAAAATTTATGTCACTGCCAAAACTTTTGGCCATGACTGTACACCTTGTCACATAGCAGCTTTTAGACGTTGTTGTTTTTTGTTATGAGTCAGAAATGACAATGAGGCAGCTTCGCGCAATACAAAGTCAATGGAGAGGGTTGGATTGTTTAAATTCAGTTTGTAATCAAAGTAATTTTTAAGTTTCCTCACAATATAAATATGAATCAACAAGGTTGGAGGATTGTAGTTTAAAAATACCCTAACTCTCCTCTCAAATAAAAAAAATTCCCCCTATAAGAGCCACCTAAAGGGGGAATTTCCCCCATTTTTCAAAACGAAATTCAGGCTCTGAAAAACATTGTCAGTTTCACTTTCAGTAAGAATTGCAACTTCATTTTCTGCTATAGAGAAGCCATATGTATATGAATGTCTAGAATATGTATATCTCAATATTTTAATAAATTGCAAAATGCTGAATAATCGATCAAAGCCTACTGATAAATCAGTGAAATAATCAGTGATTAGTCTATTAATCATTCTAATAATTGTTAGATTAATGTATTATCAAAATAATGATTTGTTGCAGCCCTATTAATACAGTGGGGAAAACAATTATTTGATCCCCTGCTGATTTTGTAAGTTTTCCCACTTACAAAGAAATGAAGGGTCTATAATTTTTATGGTAGGTTTATTTTAACAGATAGAGGCAGAATAAAGTTTATAAATTGATTTGCATTTCAATGAGTTAAATAAGTATTTGATCCCCAAGCAAAGCATGACTTAGTACTTGGTGCAGAAACCCTTATTGGCAAGCACAGAGGTAAGATGTTTTTTGTAGTTGGTCACCATGTTTGCACACATCTCAGGAGGGATTTTGGTGTACTGCTTTTTACAGATCCTCTCTAAATCCTCTCTTAAGTTTCTTGGCTGTCGCTTGGCAACTCAAAGTTTCAGCTCCCTCCACAGATTTTCTATAGGATTGAGGTCTGGAGACTGGCTAGGTCACTCCATGACCTTAATGTGCTTCTTCTTGAGCCACTCCTTTGTTGCCTTGGCGGTATGTTTCAGGTCATTGTCATGCTGGAAGACCCATCCACGACCCATCTTCGGGTGTTCGGGCTGAGTCAAGGAGGTTCTCGTCCAAGATTTTACAGTACATGGCCCCGTCCATTTGCCCCTCAGTGCGGTGAAGTCATTCTGTACCCTTAGCAGAGAACAGCCTCAATGCATAATGTTTCCACCTCCGTGCTTGACTGTAGGGATGGTGTTCTTGGGGTCATAGCAAGGATTTCTCTCCCTCCAAATACGGCGAGTCGAGTTGATGCCAAAGTGCCCAATTTTGGTTTCATGTGACCACAGCACTTTCTCCCAAGCCTTCTTGGAATCATTTAGTTGTTCATTGGCAAACTTCAGATGGGCCTGTACATATGCCTTGTGGGCGCTGCAGGATTTCAATCCATTGCGGCGTTGTGTGTTACCAATGGTTTGCTAGATGACTGTGGTCCCAACTTCCTTGAGATCATTAACAATGATCTCAAGGAAGTTGGAGATGACCTCTACAGCCCTGAATGTCAGCGGTGACCATGTCAACTAGATGCACCCCAGAGACAGATCCCCTGCGAACTTGGGAAGACCTCGTCACTTCAACGACCATCGGCACGAGACCATGGGAACCAGACGAGTCCTCTGCACAATCTGACCTGTGTTGCAGCCTGGAATTAAACCACCTCATGCTGGTTTCGTCTGGCCAGAGGAGAAGTAGCCCCCCGACTGACCCTGGTTTCTCCCAAGGTTTTTTCTCCATTTCTGCCACCGATGGAGTTTTGGTTCCTTGTCACTGTCACCTTTGGTTTGCTTAGTTGGCGACGCTCGACTGATTGCACGGACACTATTGAAAGAGAGCTGAACTGGATGATGACATCACTGAATCATCAATGAACTGACTTATAAAATACTTATTTCACTCGATCAAATGCTAATCAATTTATAACCTTTTATGTAATGTGCTTTTCTTTCACTTTCTGTTAAAATAAAGCTATGATAAAAATTATAAACCATTAATTTCTTTGTAAGTGGGCAAACTTACAAAATCAGCTGGAGATCAAATAATTACTTTCACCACTTTATTTTGCCAGCTCTTTTTTCCAAGTTAAGTTAAGGGGCCAGTGTTCTGAACCATTTAGATTATATTCACTAATATAACAGACACTTCATTCAGAAACTCAAATGAGGAACACAGGTGATTGATTGTGATGATTGAACATTTCCATTCTCATGAATTCCACTCTCACGTGTGACCGCCCCTAAGTTTCAACGAAAGTGATTTTTTTTTCTGCTAGCTTTTGTTTTTATATTAATATATTAAATTTTTATAATCATTATATTCAATAAGAAGGTTTTTTTTTTAAATAAAATAATTATAATGAATTTTCTTGTAACAGATAGCCCAGATTTTGCTGGAAAATGGTGCAGATCCTAATGCAACGGATAAACTGGAGTCCACACCTCTACACAGAGCATCCGCCAAGGGCAACTACAGACTCATTCAGCTTCTTTTAAAAGAGAGTGCTTCTACCAACATTCAGGACTCAGAAGGAAACACACCACTGTAAGTAGAACCACTGTGTAGCAGTGTTATTGTTCTCATAATTATGTATAAATGCTTCCTCAGAGCAGTTCTGCATGAGCTTTTCATTGTTTTTGCCAGTCATCTTGCATGTGACGAGGAGCGAACAGAGGCTGCAAAACTCCTTGTGGAACATGGTGCCAGCATCTACATTGAGAACAAGGAAAAGATGACGCCTCTACAAGTGGCTAAAGGTGGCTTGGGATCAATGTTGAAACGGATCGTAGAGGGTTGAAACGGAAGCTTTTAATTAAGCTGCTGTTCAAGTATGATGAATGCTTGTTTGTGAGAGTATTTGAAAGAAATAAGTTTTTAAAGATGAGGAGAAGAATGATGTTGTGGTCAACATTCACGTTTTGACAGTTTAAAAGCTCATGACTTGATATGTTGGTCACTTTTCTTGCATTTTATTGAGTACATGAGTTTTAGACTTACATATAATATTCTGATTATTCTTTGTCTACTTCAGCCATGGATGCTTTATTTCAATTAAACCTAAAGCTTATTTTGATATTAGTTAGTCACTTAAAATGTAATTTCTAGTTTTGTATCCCTGTGTGAAAATCACGATACCATAGTCTATTCTTCCATCTTGATGCTTGTTTTTTTTATAAGGAAAATAAATTGTAATTGAATAAAATTTACTGTTATATCTAGTCATCTAGTCATATATAAGTGTTGTCTTAAAAGGTAAATGTAGACTCAAATGAATACAGAGATGTGCCCATCATGTACACTATCATCCAAAAGTTTGGAGTCACAAAGATTTTTTAAAGAAATTAAGAATTTTAATCTGCAAGGATGCATTAAATTGATCAATTGAAATTGAAAAGTGACAGTAAATACATTTATAATGTTTACAAAAGATTTCTATTTCAAGTAGATGCTGTTTTTTGAACTTTCTATTTATCAAAAAATCTGTAACAAAAAATAAAACAAAATTATTGAGCAGCAGTAGCAAATGATTTCTGAAGAATCACGTGACAATGAAGACTGGAGTAATGGCTACAGAAAAAATACAGCTTTGCCAAATAAATTACATTTTAAAATATATTAAAATACAAAAAAATGTTTATTATTTAAACGTTATTATTTAATTTTAAATTTTAGTGTGTTCCTTTTTTCACTGTGTTTTTGATCAAATCAATGTAGCCTTGGTGAGCATTTAACAGGCTTTTTTAAAAAACTGACCATAACTTTTGAACTGTAGTGAAGCCTATATTATACAATTACAAGATGTACCTTTGTTCTTTGTCATTCAGCTAGTAGTTCTCACTTTTTCATGCTCAATATACTCAAGCTTCTGGCCATTCGATTTCTTTTCAAGGAAATATTGGATATGTATTTAGGCAGACTTCCTCTTACAACAACTGCTGTTAAATATTATAGTTCTACTAACAATAGTTCTACTACGAACTGCTGACCACACACATTTAAAAAAAAATCTTATGAATGTAGGTCATGCAGTGCCGCCAGCTTGTCAGCAAAAGTTAGGGTAGTGGTAAAGATAACTTCCTCAGACACTAATCTACTGTTTGCCACAATTCCCCATGACGATATCTTATAACAGTGAACATGAAAACCCCCATCTCGCGCCGTTCTTACATTTTGGGGTGTGGTACGCCTCCGCTGAAATTTAATGGTGGTTACAGCCCTGCATTCTAGTTCCAAATCCTGTATCAACCAGTCTCATGGTGTAGTTATAAGGAACCAATGTTCTCAACCATTTAGATTGTATTTATTAATATAACAGACACTTCATTAAAAATCTCACAAATGAGGAACACGGGTGATTGATAATGAGGATCCAACATTTCCATTCTCATGGATTTCACTCCCACGTGTGACCATCCCTAAATTTTGATGAAAATTAGTATTTCTAGTAGTATTTCGAGAATCTCACTTGCAGTCACATTCGTTACGTATAGCTGCTTATACTCCGAACTGGTTCAGTCAGTTTTGAAGAATCACATAAAATGTATGCACCACATATGAATATACGTGACCCTTCACAGGTGTAACCCAGATATGGGGAACCATTAGTTTACCTGGTTTCAAGTTGCACTAATGCTCGGACTATAATTTTACTCAATCAAGATAAATGTATAATAAAGTGTTTGAATGTGGAAATGTAGCTGGGTGCAAGTTTCTAGTTACGTAACTGAAACAGGACGTGAACCACAAAAGTGAAATGTGAATGGCTATGACAAAAATTTGGTCTCCTGTTATCAGCTTACATGTATTCATTCTGATTTTAGTGAATGCAAATAGTGCCATAGGCTATATAGAGCACACACTGTACATTGCTACACATTTTCCATTTCAAAAATTTTTCAGACCATATTTCTTAGTGAAAATGATTAAGGTTGTAACAATTAAAGGTTCAATTCACAATATTGATTCATAGTAAATTAGTGTTGTCACAGTACCAATATTTCAGTAGTTGGTACCAATAACAGTAAAATTACACAGTTCTTGGTACCATAGCAAAAACTATTGGAACTATTTCACTATTTTAGCTATTTGAAAAATATTAAATACATTAAATTAATTATTTAAAGTAAAGTTAATTATTAATGCTAATAATAATTAAGTAAATAACACATTAAACAGCATGTAGCTTTCAAGTATTTTTCAATTAGGTAAACATTGCTTAAAAAGATTAGTAATAAAATGAAAACAAAGAAACTTATTATATGGAAAAAGTGGCAAGTCTATCATTCTGCATTTACAGTCCATGATCTATTTTGAGATCAGATTTTTTTTCTTTTTCTTTTTTGTCCCATCCTTTGCAATGGTTATCACTGTGACAGTCTCTAGCGTTTCTAGCAGTATAGAGCTGTTGAAAAACTGAATCGATCCGATAATCGAAACCGATAATAAATGGCTAGTATTATATTTTTTAAATTTCAGTGCTGACTTGGTACCGAAGTACTGGTACTTTTGACAACACCAATTCAAAGAAGTCTGAATGAAGAAAAGTTCAATTTTGAATGTTTGTTTTAATTGAACTGAACTACAATTTATAAGCAGGGCTTAATTTGTGCCGGAATAAGCCGAATTTGTCCGAAATCTGATCCTGCACCTCATTTGACAGATCCCCTCCTCACCCGCCAATGAAAAACGTTTGTGTTGACCTATAGCGTGCATATATTTCATGAAAAAAACTTCTATTATGAGCAGGCTTGCCTAGCATCTACATTTGAAACAACAAACTTGAGCGCGCAAAGAGATGCGACGTGGCTGCTCTCACAAACCCGAATGCACGGATCCAATACTGATACACATGCGTTTTCTTTCTCAGCGGCGCGATATGGATGTGACTGTGAGCGCATAGGAAACCCCCTTTAGAGCACGCGAGTATCGAATGGCTTGAATGGCTTAA